CCGCCCCAACTCAAGAGCGTTTTTTTTATTTATTAAATACATGCTTAATATTATAAACGTTGGTATAGTTTTAAGTAAAATCGTGGCATACGAAAGTGCACTGAACGTAAGGTAAGATAACAAGAGGAAAAGTCAGGGGCTGATATCCTAGAGCATAATTATAAGGTTCCTAATTTGCAAAATAGTTTTGCCCATAATATCACTCCTTAGAAAAAATTCTAAAACCTAACCTAACTGGGGTGGTTAACGATTTTCGAGGATCGCACAGTACCCGTGTCTGCATCCAAATACATACACACAAACATATTGTAGGAGGGTGTAGCGTATTAATTACTGTAAGTCACAGAATGAAAGCCAAGTTGAAAATAGACTTAAACTAGGTAGGTAGTGAAGCTCATAATCCTGAGGATATAATATGTACCCCTTGCTCCTAATGTGAAAAATAGTTTTGGTCATAACAATCAATAGAAAAAAAATTTAGCTACGGCACTACGGCGGTGGACGATCCTCGAGGACAGCATTGACACACACTCACGCACACACACACACACACATATTGTAGAAGGTCGTAGCATATTAACATTATTAACTACGGTAAGTCACAGAATGAAAGCCGAGTTGAAAATCATTTTATTTAACCAAACTGTAATTAGACAGAAGATTCTCTTATATTTATACGTCTTATATAATGACTTAAGTTAGGTAGGTAATTAAAGTCATTTCATATTATATCCAGCTCCGTCGTAACATCTCGGCTAATTTTCCTGTTACTTTGAAGAAAATAATATATAATTATATGCGTTAATTGAAATTCGTGTTCACATATATATATATATATATATATACATACACCTGGCAACTGTACCTGATTAAAACTATATGACTAATTAATAATATTGTTTTGTTTAATCACGCTGCAAATTGCAATCGTTGTGCACAATGATTTTAAATGAAAATGACCAAATAAATGTTCCTTAATTTAATAACATAGTCGACACAAACATACTGTAATTGCCCAAACCACTACGGCTAATTTGCAACAAACAGGAAGAGCAGGGTGCATTGTTCACGACATCTTAAGTTATAATTTAAAACATTTGAAAGTTCCACACAACCACTGTAATGTGCGTGTGGAATAAAAAAAAAACCCCAATAATTAACTTCTTCAACAACTGCAGCAGAGTTACCAATGTTATTTTTCTCAATACAATTATAAACTTTAAACTTTTGGATTTAAATAACACAATGTCACTCTTGTTAGCTGTATGATATTCTATTGACTTAAAACACAGCGTCGCGTTGACTTAGCTCGGGTAGATTTCTTTCCTCGACTTGCGCCCACCTCTACATTATTATATTATACTATTTATAATAGGCACTACGACGCATTATACCTACGAGTGTAACTTTTTCGTTCCATCGGATTATGATTAAAATATAACGTCATTACGTCATAGCTTCGCCGACGGTTTGTTTCGAAACGATAATCTTAACATCGTTATCGTCGCAATTAAAAAAATTTTCAAATATTCCGAAACTCGAATCGAGAAAAAAAACACACGCACACACGAACAGACGAACGAAAAAACGAACGAAAATCTTCGTCCGCCGGTGGACGTGGCGGGGGCCGGGGGG